TTGGAACATCACCTGGTATTATTAGCTTAATTTCTCTTAGATTTCCTGACCTTTGTAATGTTGCTTGACCTAAATTGCTGTTGGTCATCTTGAACTATAGTGGAACAAGCACATACAGCTATCTAAATTAGGAGTGATGCTCACATAAAGTCAGGCGCAAAACAAACAAACAAAACTCCAATAAGGTAATTGCTTGACCTTTTAAACCAACGGTCACCAACTGGTGGTCCATGGAACACTGGTGGTCCACGAGAAAATTTTGGTGGTCCGCAGAAAAATTATTTGCATTTTTTATATTGCACTAAATTAGGGGTCCTCAAACTGTGGCCCCTGGGCCGGATATGTGCAATGAACATTTGTGTTGCTGCAGAGAATCTCCCCCTTCGGGGTCTTTTTGTGTAGGTCAGAGGGGGCAGAAATTCTGACTTGGGGTCTGCTTCAGCCTCCTGGTTCGGGGCTTTGGACGAAGGCTGGAGGGAAGTACTGCTGGTGGCAAAGAGCTAGAAGGCCTCATTCCAGTGGGACTGCATCATGACCTTGAACTGGCTGACCATCTCAGCCCACTGAGCCTGCAGGCACCAGTATCTGGTCTTGCACTTTCATAGGTCTTCCGTCTGCTTGGAAAGATGCTTCTGCTAAGCCTCCTTCTCGGCCAGATCCAATTTGAACTGAGCCAGCTGTTTTGCCAACTCTTTCTTGTGGTGGCTACTTAGCTCCAACAACTGCTTCCTGTTGGGGGCCTAAGGAGCCTGGGTGGGGAGGGGAGGAATGGCTGGGAGGGGAGGGGCAAGTAAAGGCAACTCGATGTCACTCAATGAGTGACATCGAGTTGGCCATGCCTTCCCAGTCACATGCCCACTTAGCCAATCATTAGGCAGGTCATATTAGTGGTCCGCGGGATTTAAAATTATGAATTTAGTGGTTCCTGAGGTCCAAAAGGTTGGTGACCCCTGTTTTAAACTACAGTAACTTCCTATTCTATGGGAGGGGGGATTTGAAAACCATAAAAAAAATAGAACATCTATTTGTTCCCTTTGAAACTCAGTTATTACTATTTTTTCTGCCTCGTTTACTATATTGTTTTTAGATGTTAAAAGTATTTTAAAAACCTTCACTTTTTTCCTTTGATTTTAGTTGCTTTAAACCTTACAGATTGTTTAGGCACTCAGTTAGTTGAGATGGCAATTCAGGTTTCAGTCTATCTACTTTGCATATCTTTATTCTTACAAGCTGACAATAGGGCTGACCTGGTTTCTTCTCTCACCTTGTTGTGCTCATGTCTCACCTAGCCACACCTTCTCTTTCACTCACTCATTGCAGTTTTGATGCCACTTCTGTTTTTACAAGAATCTCAAAGCTTCTAATTTCAAAGCTCTTGCTAAATTTTCCACAAGGACAAAAACTGCTATCAACTGCTTTTGCATTCAGACGGCATATTAAAATCATATTAAACACATTGACGATTCATACACTGTAGTAAGCCATGATTCCCTAAACTATAAGCCAGATTTCCACATTTGGATTTCCAAAACTATGGTTTACTAACTGGAATGGATGGGTTCATACCTTTTATACCTAAACTCAAATCAACCATCACTTGATTTGAGTTTAGTATGCTGTATGAAATCAAGCAAAGTTGGGTTCTCAAAAGAAAAGACAAGTATAATGCTTCTACTTGCCTGACCATAAAAGAGCCACAATAGCACAGTTGTTAGAATGGAGTATTGCAGGCTGACTCTGCTCACTTCCAGGAGTTCAGTCCTGATGGCTCAAGGTTGACACAGCCTTCCATCCTTCCGAAGTCAGTAAAATGAGGATCCAGAATGTTGGGGACAATATGCTGTCTCTGTAAACTACACTACTTAAAGAGGGCTGAAAAGCACTGTGAAGCGATATATAAGTCTAAGTGCTATTGCTAATGCAGATGCAGTATTGCAGATGACCAACAAGCAAAATAAAGATTTATTTTTAGTCAGTCTGACTGGTGAATCTCCTCCCACCCATTTGGGACTGTGAGGGTTTTTCAGCCAGATGGTGTTCCCACTCCTGAACATACCAAATGTACAAGTGTTTCTCATTTATTCTGTATTGTTGAGATCAGGAGTACTGTCACTCAGATGCACTGAGAAGCAGCCTTTCCTAGCCTGATGATCTGCAACTCCTTACAGTCCCACATCATGCCTTGTCTGGGAGTTGCATTCCTGGCACATCTGGAAATTGCAAACTGGAGAAAGCTAAGAATTCAAAGCTCAGTAATGTGTAATTGAAAAACATAGTCCTTTCTCAAACAGTGCAACAATTCTGTATGTTTTTAAAAGATTTATTTTTCACTTTTAATATTGTATAAGGCAAGAGAAAACATGAATATACAGTAACAACCCCGAAAAATATGTCTCAACATTCAGTCATCAATTACATATATCCGGAGAAGATATGTTACTGTTAGCATAATTTATGTCATCATTCCATATCTAATAAAAATGCAATTCATCCCCCTGAGAAATGATCTGCAGTATTTCTATTTTATTTTGTTTTAGTGTATTTTTATTTGATTTCCCCCTTTCTTTGATCTTTAAGCCCTAGTTTTTAGATTTTATAAGATTGCTAAACTGTCTTGTATATATTTGGCCATTACCACTTAAGATTTTTATTTATTTTGCTGGTTATGACCATAATTAAATAGATTTGATTTGATTTGACCTTGGGGGATAAGGTTATGTGAATACTCATTATACATTACATATTCTGGAAGTTAATTCTATGTTATGTGGCAAATACATTCTTTTGCTCTGAATCTGTTGTCCATTAGTGTCATTCAAGGACTACAAATTACAGATCTATGAGATTTTTTTTTTTAAAAAAAAAGAAACATCATCAATGATCTATTTGCTCCACATATTATTTCATATACATTACTGGCACTGCTTTGTTACATTTGTTCTGTAGATAAGAGAATATCAACTGATCCAAATGATGGGACTTCTAAAGGTATATATTAGCCTTCTCCAACATAACTCTTCCAATGTTTTTAGAATTTAATTATATATTAACAGTGTGTCTACAGTTGCACAAAAATGAAATAAATGCTCTAATGCATGCATCTCTGAAGGAAGGGCACACGAGGTTCCCTACATTGGCAGAGGAGAAAAGGAGATGCAGGAAGAGCGACATACACAAAAAGGAGTATTTATGGCAATTGAAGGGGATTATATAGGAAGATCAAGCCGTGGGGAGAATGCATATTAAAGCAAAACCTCAGGAATTCCTTTTCATGTTCATATTCAGCTATTTCTATGTGGCATTAGTATCAGAGATTCACTCAAGTATGTTCCAGATATTTATAAAACCAGGGGTTTAGCCTGACTTTTAAGAGATTAAGTAAGAATTTTTGTGGGATCTTCTTTTAAAAATCTGGGTGTGATGCAGAATCAGATTCTTTTCTTTTTCGGTACTGTACTTGATTTCCCTTTTAGGTTTAAAAAAAAAAAACTAGCGGCCAAGAGCGCGAGAGGCAACTTTTTGGTGTTGTCGGATCCGTTTCCTCCAGCCCACCCTGGGAGGAAGGGTGGAAGAAAATAAGATTTCAAATGTCTGACCGACTTCCTCTATTGTTGACTGTGGCTTGCTTGATTGCAATTAAGTGGTTTCGAACAAAATGTAAGCTGCGCGACAAAGATCTATAGGTGGCGCTGCAGCAGGAGGCTCAGCGCGGGGGCTGGAAGGCTTTGTAACGAGACAGGAAACGAGTGCGGCCGCTCCTTAGAGACTGTGACGTCAGCTTCAGAGTAAGGAGCTGAGATTTCGGAGCAGGCTGAGCGGAGAGTGGACCGTACACCTTCTCTGCAGCTCAGTGCCTGCTAGTTTGTCCCGTTTCTTCTCCAACATAGACCGGCGGTTTTTTGTTGTTGTTGTTGTTTAACCTTCACCTCTTTCTCATATATCTTGGATTGGAGACATAAGAAAATGGCCACCCGTCCAACCTGTTCCAGACAGGTTAATCTACCTGTCCAGGTGGGACCTCCGTGCCCAAAGTCCTGAATCAACTGTCTCCAGAGAACACAATCTCAGCAATCTAAATCTGATCGCTTTAGAAATATTACCTGTAGCAATACAACTTTACTACATCGTTTATTGACCTCAAGTACAAAAAATGTTCATTTTATTCCGCCTCCCCATGGATATCCCAGGCCTGTTTATAAATGAAGCAGACGCGGCGGAATTCATTTCATAGGGCTGCGGGCTGTCAAGGAAGTCTTCATATCGTCTTTTGGCAAAACAGGCTTTCGCCTGCCTACCTAACAAATCTGATTAGTGTTTATGATTCGCTTTGCTACTTCCCAATCCCATGCTTTTTTTAAAAAAAAATATATTTATTGCTAACATTTTACCTACAGACTAAGTAGAAGGGTTCCGGAATACTAGAAAGCTTGCACGATCTTTTGAGCAAATTGGTTAGACTAGGTAATAAAGACATTACCCGACTATAGATTTGGGTTTTTTTTTCGCCCAATGGGCCTCCCCGACTACAATGTTGTTTTTTTTTAAAAAAATCTCAACCTGTGGAGTGAGTTAAGCAACCGGTTTGAGGTTTTGTAGTGATTAATCAAGGATTTGAAGTCAGTCTTCCCCTGATTAGATTTTTGGGCCAGAATAACAAAAAGATACAAGGCGCCTTTTGCAGGCTTGCTATCCCCCTCAAAGAAGATGGATGAAACTCTTTGACTCCATCAAACTTTTCATGTACTCCATGCATAGCCTTCCCTCCTGCAAGCAGATCTCCCCCTCCCTTGCCCTCTTCCTCTTCGCTAGAAGTTAGTTTGTTAACGACCCAGCCTTTTCCAGTAAATCCATCCAGTATCCTCCCAGCCCCCTTTCCGTCCTGCCTGAGGCTGAAACAACACCCCCCCTCCGTCTCCAAGCGAGACTCCTCCACCGAAGGAGGAGGAGGAGGAGGTCTCCTCCTCCCCCAGCGACTGTGGTGGCGGAGGCTGTCCATCTGCGACAAGGGCGGGGGCTGACTCCTATTCTCCTTCCCTCCCTCCTCTTGCTCTCTTTCCAAGTTTCTGCTCCTCCCTCCTTCTCACAAACTTTCCCGTCGCTCTTGCTCGGCTCCCGGCTCGCTCCTCTCGGGTACGCGGCGGATTCGTTTAGCCTGCCAAGCCCGTCGCTTCGACCCTGCCCCGCTGCTCTTGTCACGTCCACCCCGCGGACCGAACCGGACCTTCAAAGCGGCGGCGGCAGCGGCGGCGGCGGGGGGGATAGGCACCCACCCTTTCCCGGACGGAGGACTGAGTAAGTAAAGCGGTCAGCGAGCGCTCCCGCTCCCGCTCCGGCCCTGGAAACTCTTTTCCTTCGGAAGAGGAAAACGATTCGCTCGTCTCTGTTGCGCCCCCCTGGCTGTCCCGGCCGGTGCGGAGGGAGGCTGCACGGCCCAGTTTCTCCGCCTTCTGTCCCTTCCCCTCTTTTCCTCCCCCCCCGACTAAAACCCCAGCCCTTCTTTCTCCCGCCCATAATGGTAGACAGAAAGAGGGGAAGGCTAAGGGGAAGCCCCTTTTTCATTTTACACCCCCCCCCGGATCATCTCCCCCTCCTGGTTGCTGCTGGGTTGTGGTTTTTCTTTTGGAGAAGGGGACTCTCCGGGCCTTTATTCACGGGTTCTTTTGGGCAACTCCTTCCTCAAGTTTCGGTCTGCTCAGCAAACGTCGGGAGGGGGGACGGGGGGGGCAATTAAAGGACTTTAAAACAAAAACCTCCAGTTTTCCCTTGGAAGGCGGCCAGTGATGTCTGCTAAGATTCCTTACTTTCTGCCCCGATCGCCTCTCTGTGCTTTTAAGTTTTGAAAATTTAGTGTGTAACTGATTTAGATTAATTTTTTACCTACCCTTTGTCCATCCCAGTTGGTTGTAGCTGTGGTGGTAGCCCATGCATTTCTTGAGACGGTTTTCTTGTGAACTAGATTGTATATTCTTGACATTACAGTAAAGCATATTTTATGTATACAAATATTGTGGTACAGTATGTATTTTTCCCTTATTTCTCAGGTGGCCTTATTTTTCTCCTTATATAGAGGGTTTGGTGGGTTTATAGAGAGGGTTTGGCCTCATAGAGAGTTTGGTGGAAGTGCGCGTTAAGATTATTTTTTTTATCATTATTCAGATTTGAGAAGATTTTTAAAAAATCAAAACAGTTTTGCTTCCTGCGTGACTGTGCTGGCAGCTTGTAGATAGGCCATAGGGGCAGTGTTGACAACTCACCAATTGCATAAACACATTTCCTCAATTAATTACCTTTGTGTGTTATTGGCATAATGCCATATCTCTCACTCCTGGGTCACATGCACAAAAATAAGTGCTTTTGTAAATCTAGTGTGTACGTAAATTATACAGTTCTAACCCAAGTTATAATTGACATTGTATCATTCAGGTGGTTATGTTTCTGTGTGAATGGGAGGACAAGCACTAGCGGCTTTGGGAAAGGAGAAGATCAGAGTTTTTTAATCTTTTAAAATTAAGGAAACAAGATGATGAATTCACCATGTACCAATCATAAGCAGGAGTATGGTGGTGAGCTGATTAGTTCTGGGCAGTTGACCTCCAGTGTTAATGAATCAATAAAGAGTACAAGACTATGAAACTAAAGAGCAAAGATCTAAAAATGAGATTCCAGAACGGTGTCTTATTGTTTTTCAAGAATAAGACCATAATACATTGAGAGTTACATTAGGATAGGATCGAGACAAACTTCTCCCTTCTCTTGATGGATTTTCCAAAAGGAAATGTTTTGAAGCCTAGCTTTTATTTATTATATGGGAAGCTGAATACAGATATGCTGGAAAATAGTTAAAGAGGAAAATACTTTTTCTAGATAATGTACCATGTTACCACTACAACTGGATGTTATTGACAGACTTCAGATATGGAATTCTTAGGGAAATTGACTTTGTCCTGAAGACCATTTTCTCATAGTGGACCCTCTCGGGAGGGTTGTTGTTTGATCACAGTTTGCAGGGTTGGATATCTGATTGATTGTACATGCCCATACATGAAAATGCACTGTTTGAGGAAATATCTGTCTAGAAAATAGCACCTGGATTGCATGTTGTATTGCTGAAGAACACCTGACCTTTCAAATGAAGATCTCCTTCTTTGAAGAAATAGTTTTAGATGCTGTCTAAATAAGTTAAATTTGAATCACAGCCAAATGTAAAAATAGTGCAGCTTTACTTTCAGGTTTACATTTTGTTAATTGCATATGGGGAAATTGGTGGATATAGTTTCACTGTATTAATGATGATCCAGTAGAGCACACTGAAAAGCTAGAAACAAGAAATTTAAGTATTATTCTATAGATCTTAACTTTCTTCAAAATCAATCCAGAAATTCGCAGATTTTAATTCTGAGAATGAGTTTACACATTCATTTGGGAGTAAATCATATTGTGCACAATGGGAATTTTTATAAACATACACTGTTTCACATTGCACTGAAGTGGGCCAGTAATAAAAATTTCAATGATACGCACATATCACTTACCAATTCTCATGACACTGCTCTAAAGAGTAATTAAGCTTGGTGGTATTATAGAAAAGAATTGTATTGTGGAAGAAAGTGTTCCTTAGATACCATCTAAACCAAAGTTAATTTGAGAAGAATAAATTTGTAATCCATTTCTTATTGTTTCTGTTTAATAATTTAAATGTGATGCCAACCCATTCTGGTATGCTATGTCTGTAGCTTTGTCCTCAGCTTAATGATATCTGTATGTGAATATGTGTATAAATTTTTATTTATTTATTTATTTTATTTGATTTATATGCCGCCCTTCTCTGGAGACTCAGGGCGGCTTACAATGCGTTAAGCAATAGCCTTCATACTTTTGTATATTTATAAAAAGTCAGCTTATTGCCCCCACAAACTGGATCCTCATTTAACTTACCTTAGAAAGGATGGAAGGCTGAGTCAACCTTGAGCCTGATGAGATTCGAACTTACAGTAATTGCAGACAGCTGGTGTTAATCACAATGTTTTTAGTCTGCTGAGCTACCAGGCCCTATTATTGGATCATTTACCAGTCCTATTTTTATATGCTTGAATATCTAGTTAGAATAGGTCCGGTCTTCATAAGGATACACGAGCATTTGCATTCCTAACAAGTTGCTCTAAATGGGAGGTTAATAACTTGCTTGGGTTCAAAATCTGTCAGATTTCCATTGAAGTCCAATTTTCGAACAGATGATTGCAGATTTTCTGGGATGCAGGACCTCTTTTACATTCAGTGAATAAAAGTGTTTAATATTGTGAAAATGACTTTGGTGCAGTTATTAAATCTGCAGGCATGAAATATGCATATGGTTTTTCATATAGGATTTGCAAGACTTTGGAGTTGGAAGCAAAAAGGTACTTCAGAGTGCATGATAGTAAAAGACTTCTCACATAGCAACAGACTACAACACTTTAAATTAAATATATCTTCCTAGGAATGACATATTTGGTTCACAGTTGTAGATAGGTTCTACGTTCATGCCCTCATGGGCTCTGAAGTGTCTTTTTAGCTTCAAATCCAAAATGTTACATAGTCAAATATATTTTCTGTTTGAATGCTTTCACTTCAGTTGTATTTAATACATACAATTGGATCAAAAGGCTCATGTTTTGCTAGATGATAATTGTAACACAATGTAGCATACTGTCTAAAATTAATCTTCATTTCCATTCTGCTACAGAAATAATATCAAATACTATTAGTTTTATATTTTCAAAAGAAAAACATCCTTTTTTCTTTTACTTTTTTAAATAAAGTTTTTTATTTTTAAACAAATGGTACATCGTTATTCAATCAGTGTGTCATTTTGTACACATCAGTGTGTACAAAATTTTTGTGTCATATTCAACGTTTACCACCACTTTCTTAATACATATACATGTTTGCTTTTACATTTTAATTTATTACAACATGTTCTTTCCAGATTTCTTAAATTTTATACTGCTTATTTTCTTTATTCAATCTCGATCCATTGGTAAAATTTCCCCCATGTATTGTAATATTTCGATTCTTCCTTCCCTTTAATTGCCATCGTTAGTCTATTTACTTCTGTACATTCTAATATTTTCTTAATTACCTCACCCTTTGTGGGAATTTTTTCTGCTTTCCAATTTTGTGCAAATACGATTCTCACTGCAGTTATTACATGTATGATCAAATATACGCTTTCTTTACTAAATTTCTCCGATAAGATACCCAATAGAAACAGCTCCGGTTTATGATAGTATGATCCCAGTGTCTGGTGGCATTTCCAACATTTAGTTGATTTGTCTTTAAACATTTTTGCCAATTTTTCTGGTGACATGTGCCATCTATAAAACATTTTATACAAATTCTCTTTATATGCTGTAGCCATTGTTAATTTGTAGTTTCTTTCCCATAATTGCTGCCATTTATCTAACTCTGTTGTATATCCAAAATTTTTCGCCCATGCTATCATTGTTTTTTCTTCTTCTTTTAGTGTGGTATAAAATATGAATTAAAATTTGAGTTTCAAATCTCCATTTATCCATGCAGAATCCAGTACTATTTTACTGAAAATAATTATATTCAGCAAGGATAATTTTCAGGAAACTTTGCAAAGGATTTAGCCTTAACTTTTTCCAAATTTAAAAGTGTAATCTATATGCAAACATTTAAAATGTGAAGTGACCATATTAAGAGACCTTGATTTCAAGTTCTGCGTACTTCTTTAGTAGTCTGAACTGACTTGAAGCTGAGGTAAACATAATGGCAGTTGTTACAATCAGATAGCTTTTGTGAAACAAGTTTGACAGTTTTTGGTTCATTTTCTTTATGGAATTTTATGCTTGTCTTGCAGAAATCATCAGCCCTACTGACGGTAACAGTAGTTTATTATTTGCAGTTTCAGTATAGAATAGTGATCAGGCGTACCATTTTGTTGGGTTTGCATATTACGAAATATCAGGTGGAAACATTTTCTCAGTGCTTCCTAATGAATTCATGGCTTCTTTCTAGAAAGAGTAAGCCAGAATGTTTGGTTCGCCCAAGTTTAAAACAAAACAAAATATCATGCTGTATAATATCTGTGGTTATTAGTTGCAGATGCTTCTAGAAGGAACCAGCAATATGACCATTTCTGCAGTTTGAGCATGGTCACCAGCATTAGTACATTGAAGTTGCAATTGCTAAAAACAATTTGCACAACTGTGCTAAACTAGCATAGCAGCCATTTCTGTGCCGTGGGCCATATTAGTGATAGAACACTAGAAAGGGCTAGAAAAAAACTG